ACCCGCTCCCCGAGTCTATTGCTGGGAGTGCAATTGGCGCCAGTTCTTGCCACACACTTGGGCGAGAACCATCAGGGCCACCTGCACGTGCCAAAGATCCTGCACGATCTAGTGCACACCAACAGGGAGCTTCGTCAGGGAAGCCTTCCTTTGGACGTGTTGAGGGCGATGCTGGACCCAAATCTGGCCGGCCTCAGCTTTACCCGGGACGGAAGAAGTAGCCTGCCCCTCTTCCGTTCATGCGGCAGTCCCGACATTGCCGTTTCCATATGTGCTCAGGTATTCCAGTTGGGTGGCTGCATACTTCGAGCAACTCTGCTACGTGTACTTCAAGTTCCTGAGGCAGAGCAACTTCTGAGGGGTGCCCTTTCTTACCTCTTCGGCCACGTTCCAACGTGAGCCCATCTTAGGCCGCGATTGCTGCACCAGGCCTCTAAGCAGCCTGACTCGTTTGTTTTTCTTGTGGCTGGGCAGCCCCCAGTCTTTTCCATTTCACGCGTTTATCGATTCAGCCCCCGTGCACATTCGTATTAAACTTGTGCCAGAGCTTGGCGGATGGAGGGCGGGCGGTTTTCCAAGTGTGGCTCTCGCTTCAGCACCACATGCGTTCTGTAGAAAAGTTTGCAAGAGTTCTACGCATGGAGGGCGGTTCCTTTTCAACATGTGGCTCTCCGCTTGAGCGCTGCGCACATTCGTTTTAATATTGTACAGCAGTTTCAAGGTTTATCCATAAGGGTTTCGCCCCCTGCCGCCGGCCCCTTCTCTATCATAATGGGATATATCAGAGTCGCGTCGGTGCCTCTCGGCCCTGCCTTGGCGCATTTGGGAACATCATGTTGGGGCGGACAGGAATCATCAGCGCATATTGAGACGTTGGCGTTATCGAAATCGCCAACGGCGAATCACCGCCGACCCCTGCCTTTTCGCCTGCGTGGCCGAATGTTGGGTTTGAGCTTGGCCACGCTATCGGGCCACGCGTTCCCCGAGTGGGTTTCTAAAGCCTTCGGGGAACACGGAGTCGGGCGAGCTATCGGACCAGGTGGTTTCCGAGCTTTCGGGCCTCCTGGAAGACGTCTTGGAGGGCTCTTTGGCCGTTTTGGATGCCTCTGGCGGGCCTTTGGGGCAGTCTACGGCCATCTTCAGGCCATCTGGGGCCGTCATGGGTGCATCTTGGGGCCATCTTCGCCGCCTTGGAGGCCTTCTTGGCCGTCTTGGAGGCATCTTGGAGGCCATCTTGGCCGTTTTGGAAGCCATCTTGGGCGTCTTGGGGGCCTCTTGGGCCGGTTTGGGGTCGTGTTGGGATCCTCTTGGAGGCCTCTTGGCCTGTCATGGGGCCATCTTGGAGGCCGGCGCCGTCTTGGAGGCCATCTTGGACCATCTTGGGCGAACCTGGAGGCCATCTTGGCCATCTTGGAAGCCATCTTGGAGCCATCTGGAGCAGGACAACTTTTGGAACCACCCTTCCTTGGCCATTCTGGGACCCCGGCGGGCGGGGCCGAAACACCAGGGGGAGATCTTTTGGAAAAGAAGCACAACCAAAAGCGAAAGGATTAAGCACGCCGGGCATCCCTGTAATGAATCAACAGGGGGCGGCGGATCGAAGACGCCTACGGTGAGTCACCGCCGTCCCTTGCCCTTTCGGAAGCGCCTATGTGGCCGAACGTCGAAGCTAGAGCCCTGCCAAGCTATCGGACCATGTGTTCCCCGAATCGGTTTGGAAAGCCTTCGGGGAACAGGTTGGGGTGGACGTGGGGCCATTTTGACCCTTTCGGGCCTTCCTGGAGGACGTCTTGGAGGGCTCTTGGGCCGTCTTGGAGGCCTCAGGCGGGCCTTTTGGGCAGTCTACGGCCATCTTCAGGCCATTTGGGGCCGTCTTGGGTGCATCTTGGGGCTATCTTCGCCGCCTTGGAGGCCTTCTTGGCCGTCTTCGAGGCATCTTGGAGGCCATCTTCGGCGTCTTCGGAGCCATCTTGGGCCGTCTTGTTGGGCTCTTCTTGGGACCCTCTTGGGGGTCTCTTGGGCTGTCACGGGGCCAACTTGTAGGCCTCTCGGGTGCTCTTGTGACTATGTTGGGGGCCTCTTGGGCCGTCTTGGGCCGTCGGAGAGCTGATACGAGGAAAATGCCACAATCTGTCCAAAACCTTAAGGCACATCACTGACTTTTGCCCTTTCGGGCCTTCCTGGAGGACGTCTTGGAGGCCTCTTGGGGGCCTCTTGGCCAGTCTTATGCCATCTTGGAGCCATCTTGGGCCGTCTTAGAGGCTTCTTGGACGAACTTGAAGGCATCTTGGACTCTCTCGGGCCGTCTTGGATGCCATCTTGGACCATCTTTGGAGACTGGGCGGCCATCTTGGAGGCCATCTTGGGCCAATGTGACCACCTTAGAGGCCATCTTGAGCAGTCTTGGAGAGTTTCTTGCGGTCGTTGAGGTGGTTTCAGGGCGGGACCCTGGCGGGATCGGCCGAAGCCCCAGGCGGAGTTCTTTGGACAAGAACCAAAACCAAGATCGAAATTATCTAGCATCCGGGCACCCCTGTGGCAAGCCAACAGGCTGCGGCGGATCCAAGACGCCTACGGCGAATCACCGCCGCCCCCTGCCCCGTTGGAAGCGCCTCTGTGGCCGACAGCTGGGCCAGAGCTTGGCCAAGCTATTGGGCCAGTTGTTCCCCGAGTCGGTTTGGAAAGACTTCGGGGAACGCATGGGGGAGCAAGAAGAGCAGGAGGGGAAGGATGAGGAAAAAAGAGGAGGGGGAGTAGGAGGAGGAGGAGGAGGAGGAGGAGGAGGAGGAGGAGGAGGAGGAGGAGGAGGTCTCTTGGGCGCCTCTTGGGGCACTCTTGGGGCCTCCTGGGAGCTTCCTGGGGGCCTGTTGGAGGGTTTGGGGGGGCCTTTGGGGGCTTCTTGGGGGCCTCTTTGGCAGTCTTAGGGCGTTCCTGGCTTGTCTGACGCCGTCGGAAGCCGTCTTGGGGGCCTGTTTGGATCGCCTTGGGGCCCTCTTGGAGCATATCAGGGGTTCTTTAAGGCCATCTTGGGCGTCTTGGAGGCCTCTTGGGCCGTTTTGGGGCCCTCTTGGGGCCGTCTTGGGAGCCTTTTGGGCCGTCATGGGGCCATCTTGGAGGCCTGATGGGCGATCTTGGGGGCCTCTTGCGCCGTCTTGAGCCGTCCGAATGCCGAGAAGAAACACATGCCAAAATCTTTCAAGCTCCTTAGGCTCATCAATGATTTTGGCCTCTTCGTGCCCTCGTGGAAGACCTCCTGGACGCCCTTTAGGCCGTCTTGGATGCCTCTTGGGGGCCTCTTGGACCGTCTTGTGCCATCTTGAGGCCATCTTAAGCCGTCTTGGGTGCATCTTGGGCCGTCTTGGAGGCATCTTGGGGCCATCTTAGCCGTCTTGGAGGCCATGTTGGCCGTCTTGGAGGCCCCCTGGGCCCTCTTGGGACCCTCTTGGGGGCCTTTGGGGCCCTCTTGGGGCCGTCTTGGGGGCCTTTTGGGCCATCATGGGGCCATCTTGGGGGCCTCGTGGGCGATAGTTGGGGCCTTTTGGGCCGTCTTGAGCCGTCGGAATGCCGAAACGAAGCAAATGCCACAATCCTTCGAAAACCTAAGGGAAGTCCGAAGGGGGGCCCGAGATGCCCCAATATCATGGCCCGCTGGAGAGCCCAAGGTAGCCCCCAAGCAGGCTGTTAGACCCCGCCCCAGGAGGCTCCTCCTGTCCCTCGCTGCTCGCCCATGCAAGAGCCACAGTGTGCGTGCCGCGTGTTTCCGCGCGCACGTATAATTGTGCAGTGGCAGTCTTGGAGTAAAGACCGCCCTAGTTTTCGAAGCGGCCCGGGTTTCCTCCAGGCCCCGTGCCCCGATGTGGTTTTCTCCCTCGGTCTCCCTCGCAAGTCTGGGGCCGCAAAGGGGCTCTGTTCCCCACAGAAGCCCCCGCTGTGGCAGGACAGCGGCTGTGCCTACCGACTCGCGATCGCTGCAATCGCCCTGCGATCGGCACGCGGCCCTCGCCGACGGCCGCGGCGGTCGGCGGTGCGATCACAGGGCCTTCGGCTGGGCGGCGGGAGACGCCGAGGCAAGGAGGGCCATGGGCTCACCGCGCTGATGCAGGAGAGAGCGTGCCTGCGTTGCCAGGGGGAAGGGGGGGAGGGGGGAGCGGGCGGTCCCGCATGAGCTGCGGCACGGGGAAGAGGGAGGAGGGGAAGGGGGGGGTGGCTCGCTCGCCAAGGCTCGAGGATCGAGGCTCAAGGATCGAGGTCTTTGGGCCTGTTGCTGGGGCCTCTTGGAGAGCGCTGTCGTGGCCACGACTGGATCCCCCGAGCCTTCAAATCCTGGCGGCAAAGCAATCGCGACGGTCGGTGTTCGACGATCTCGGTGTTTGAAGGATGTTTCCCAGTCCGCCCTGGGATAATCACACAACCAATCACAGATGTTAGCCAACGTAGACCCTAACTAGTGATCTCTTGCAGTCTATGGGGTGCCATCGGGATGGTGCGTTCAATGTGGTGCAATCCATGTAGTGCAGTTAGTGTGCGCTAACGCATGAGTTGCCAACCTCACTGCCCACGCACTCATCCCACCCTCCCACCTGCAAAGTGGCTTGTACCATGCATGGTCATGGTTCGCGGCGGAGATTTCGGTGGCTGCTTTGCCATTGCTGACACATCTCAGCGGCCGCGCTAAAGCGCGCAATCTCGCGCGCAGAGCGGACAGCTGGTTTGGCACAGTCGATCCGGCCGCGATGGCGCTTACCGGTGGCAACGTCCCAACGTGCGTCAAAGGCCGCGCTGGCGCGCGGCCACTTCAATACGGGTCGGTGGTTCTGGCGGGCGCGTTATCTTGTGACGGTGGTGGTGGTGGTGGCGGCGGTGACGGCGGCAAGGTCAGTAACGGCGCCGATGTGTGTAACGCCAATGGCGGTGATTACGTCCATGTGTCGATGATGAAGGTGTTTGGGTGTTGACTGCGGCAAGTATTGTCATTGCCGGTGACGGTGACGATGGCGTGATGTTGCGGCTCTGATGAGGCTGATACTGGAGAGCTGCGCGTGCGTGGAAATCTAACTTCCATGGCACATTCTGTTGGGACTGAATTGAGTTCGTTCCATATGCGTCTGAAGAGCCCTATGCCGAAATGCTTCGGACACACCTTGGTATCGCAGAGGTGCGGCGCGTTCGCGTGGCGGCGCTTGTGTATGGCCCGCATGTTGTTTTTGTGTGACACGCATGCTTGCACTGGGCGCGTGCTGGATCAACGCGGGTGCACCGCGTGGTAGAGATGAGCATGTAGTTTCTGAGCGATCTTGATAATATCGTGTACTTCCAACGATTTCAATACGTGCGGGTGGATCGGAAAATTCAGAGCTTGGCACGACAAACTTGAATGTGCTTGATTTGCAAGTGTTGAATCCATTGTGCGACTCGTGTGTGTTGGTGTGCCCGTCGCGTGTTTCGATTGGGGTCTTTGTTGATCCCAGGGTTCGCACCCTGCGTTCTACAAAAATCATCTTGAGACTCAGAATGCGTTGTTGGGCCCCGAACTACAAAATCAACGGTTCCCGCATCATACTTACTCACAAGTTATTTCCCATTCCCTCTTCCTTTTGGGAAGTCGTCTTAATTTATATATATATATATGTGTACACAGGAATCGCGCTCTCGCGTGGCACTCCCTCCCAATGTATTGCGGCGCCGTGCCCCCAACACTCAGGAATCACGCTCTCCCGGTGGATTCCCTCAGGATTTACTTGGGAATCGCGCTATCGCTCGAAACGTCTTTGCGAGTCATGTTGGATTGACGCTTTAGCGCCCCACCCTTGCTCAACCCGGTCGGTTGGGCCCGCCCGCCCGACCTGCCTGTTTGGATCCACCCGCTTGTCCCGCCCGTCTGGTTTTGCCGCTTGTGCTCCTGGTCCTGACACCCCTGCTGCAAATCTCTCGCTTGTACTCAATCCTTCTCCCTCCCTCGTGTTCTCCTTTTTTCCCCTGTTTTAGGGGCTGCGCCATATGCACGGGGCAGGTAAGGAAGATACGCCTCCAAAGGGGCACGATCGAAGACGAAGAGGGCGGGTATCGAGGGTTTGGGATATTCATGTTGGTTGGCACGCGAGCCAACAAATAACATACGGACTTAAACAGTTGGTCGTTTTCTGTGGTCTTGCAAAGGGCTCTTGAAGCATGATCTTTTGCGATACCAGCGCGCATAGTATTACGTGACAGTGTGAGATGTGGGGGGCAGGAGGGAGGATACGATTGAGGATGAGATGGCGGAGGAAGAGGAGGTGTGGCGCAAGAGGGAGGAGGAGGAGGAAGAGGAGGAGGAGGAGGAGGAGGAGGAGGAGGAGGACGTGACGGGTAACCGCTGTGAACACCAGGCTGCGGGCTCTGGGTACCGCGAGATCGTGACGCTGCTTCTGGCAGCCAACGCCACCGTGGACCTGCAGGACGAGTTCGGGAACTCCGCGCTCATGTACGCGGCTCACGGCCCGCGCGCGATTCGATCTTTCTTCGTTTTGGCGAAGCTAGTCATTATCAATCTTCTCTCATCCCTTACTATTTCTTAACGCTCCGAGGCTACATACACCAATGCTAAAACATGGCCGACGCCAAGCACATCAAGCTCAGTCGTATCCGCGGCAACAGGAGCCCAATTGCTGAGGTAGAGGGACGGCCCACGGAGTCCCACTACCCTCCCTTCCCGCGGCCGTCGCCCTTTCCTCCTCCCTCATATCACCCTGGCCCCCCCTCCCTTCTTCGCCCCCCCATCCTATCCAGCCCCTCCTGCCCCTCCTTCCAACCTCACTCATCGTGCAACAAGGTTTTCTTGGGTGGTGGCATTGTGGCCAGTGCCTCTCCGTTCCCGAGCCTTCTCTATCCCTCCACCTCCCCCTGCCCCCCCCTTCCTCCGTGTCGTGCCGCCTGGCCTGCTCGAATCCCTTCCTGTGGGCTCCCCTCCCCCTGCCCCCCAAAACCTCTCACTCGGTGCTCCTCCCCACTTCCTCCCCTCCTCTCCCCCTCTCTCCTCGTCCTGGCCCGGCCGCCCGCGGACCCGAAGGGCCCACGGAAGCCATCGAGGCAGTTCCTCCCCTCCTCCTCATTCTCCCCCTCTGGACGCTGCTGGCCGTGCCGTCACCATGCGACCGATGCCGGAAAGCTGGGCACCAGCAGTCAGGGGAGGGGAGAGGGGAGCGACGCACACGGTGGGGACGACCTCCTCCCTTTTCACCCCCTCCTTGGCCTCCTCTCTCGTGCAAGCCGCTGGGCGCACCCAGCGGCGGCGTCCGCCCGTCCCCTCCCTTCCTCGCCTCCCCCCCCCCGCCTTGTCCAAGCCCGGAGGCGGCCAGCTCGGCTGCATCCAGGAGCTGCTGAAGCAGGGCGCGATGCGCGACCTCACCAACCGCAGGGGCGACACGGCTCTGTCCCTGGCGACAGCCAAGGGTCCGCAGGCGCCCCCAGATGATGGTGAGGAGGAGGAGGAGGAGGACGACGACGACGAAACAAGGACAAAGACAAAGACGACGGGGACAACGACGCGGACGACAACGACGGCAACCACGATGATCAGGACGACGACGACGACAGCGACGGCGACGACGGAAGAGGGGGGGGAAGGGAGGGGACATGAGGGGGGGAAGGGCGAGGAGGGAGAGGTGAGAGAGGTGAGCCCCCGGACTCGAAGGGCGCGCCTCCGCCCGGGCGGCCACGGCTAGTGAGGCCCGCGACACCCGGCGGCTTGACACGAACGGACCCGCCATCTGCACGACCGACACATCCCAGGAGTAACCACCCAGGTCCCCCAAGGGGGCGCTCGAAACGTTCCCCAAATCGATGCGTCCTTCAGGAGTTGACGTCAGTTACGCACGTGTGGGACGTTCGTCGGCGGCCCGCTTCGTCCTCAGCCTCAGCTTGCCTTCTCCCCCCCCCCGACAGCCGCACTGGTATCAGCGCTCGATCTCCTCCTCCCTCCTGCCCCTAGCCCCTCCTCATCGTCCCCCTCAGCTCCCCCTCTCGCGCCCACGAGGGGCGCGAGGAGGATCCGACCCTCCCGCTTCGCAGTCCAGCCTGGGGATCTGCCGCTCTCCATGGGGGAGCCGCGAGGCAGGCGCGGCCCGCCCGCCCCGCACGCCGCGCGAAGCTTGGCCGCGCCTCGCGCTGCGCGGCCCTGCCCGCGCCCGCGGCCCGCTTGGCACCCGGGTCCCCCTCGCAGCCCGTCCGGCTTCCGGGCCAGATCGAACACCGAACGGACTTCAGAGGAGGAGCGGGTCCTCCTCCTCCTCCTCCTCCTCCTCCTTCTCCCTCTCCTCCTCCTCCTCCTCCTCTCCTCCTCCTCCTCTCCTCTCCTCCTCCTCCTCCCCTCCTCCCCCTCCTCCCCCTCCTCCTCCTCCTCCTCCTCCTCCTCCTCCTCCTCCTCCTTCTCCTCCTCCCCCTCCCCTTGGCTGCTCTTGCTGCCGGGCTGCTCTTGGCTCTCCGGGCCGGGCCCAGAGAGTCTTTGTCGCCACAGCTGGGTCTGCCTCCTGGGATGGAGCCCCCTCGGCTGCCAGCTCGGCGGCCGAGCGGGCCCAGACGCATGAGGGGCTCAAACGGGAGCCCTTCATGGGGGTGGGGGGTAGTACTGGGTGGTGGCAAGTGTGGAGGTACCTTGGCACCTCGCCCTGCGGCCGTCTTCGTTGGGCCGAGGGGCCGCAGGGAGGGCCTCGGCCAACGAAGGCGGCCGAGGGACCTTCGGCGATCGGCCTCGGCCGCGCGCGAGCGCGGAGGCCGTGGTGGACGCCCTGCAGCGCGGCGCGAGGCCCGTGCTGGAGTCGGCCGTGCGCCGATCCGGCCGGGCCGCGCCCGCCGCCGCGCGCTCGCAAGACTGGGGGACCGAACAATGACATAAACATAAAACTCGGAGGTCCGCGCGGATTTCTCGGATCGCCGCTGGGGCCCCCTGGCGGCGCCTCCGGCGCCGCCCATAGCGCGCTCCGCGCGCCAGAGGGGGAATCCAGCGCGGATCCAAGAAATCCGCGCGGACTTCGTAGTTTTTATGTTTATGCATTTTTCTTCCCCCTAAAGACGAGAAGCCCGCGCGGAAGGCGAAGGAGCCCAAGGAGGCCAAGGTCTTGGGCCTCAGCCTCGCTTCAGGGGAAGGGCACGTCGCTGCTCAGGATAGGGGGAGGTCGGAGTGGAGACGTGAAAAGTGGGGACGAAGACTGGCAGCGGTGTCTGCTCATTCTGAACGGAGTTCGCCGTCGGCGTCGCCGCAGGCGGTGTTCGCTTGGGACAGCATCTCCCGTCCTCCAGCGGTCGCTGTCGGATTTGGGCGGTAGTCGCTGGTCGGGATCTTGACATCTGTTCAGCCCCAAAATCGGGATGTGTTGATATGTCAAGGGCGGAAGAATCACACTGAAGGGCTACAGATACCAAAGCTGCGACCACTTGTTTCGGGGGCTAATTTTGAGTCGGGCCTGTCCCTCTACAGGGGCAATATCAAAAAATAGTTAAAACATCGTATGGGAACATTTTTGTTAGTATTTTGGGGGACCTTTTGAGCATTTTCGAATACTTTTTATTTTTCGTTCCAAATCCTTCTGTAGGGGGGCAGGCCCGACCTAAAGCGAATTGCACTGCGAGAGAACGCGGGGGCGGCCCCTCGGAGGATGCCGCCAGTTCTGAGCTCTGGAAGGCCCCCCCCCTGGCTGCAGCCCTGTGCCCCCGGGGCCGGCGGAGGACGGAGGGACCAAGCATCGGGAGCCTTGAGACGGGGGTCAATGCAAACGGGGGCCAGCCAAGAGCGCCCGATCTTGCAGGATCCTGCGTGGCCAGGGCCGCATTGACCCGGGCTTGGATGCAGGACTTTGCAGGATCCTGCAGGATCCTTCGCATTGACCCGGGCTTGTGTGCAGGATCCTGCAGCGTCCTGCAGGATCCTGCAAGGCCCGACTGACCCGGGTCTGGATTGACCCGGGTCAGCAGTTCCTCGAAAGCAGTGCCAACGGGGGTCACCACCAGGTGGGGTCGCCAGCTCCTCTTGAGGACCGATTTTCTAGGATCGGCGATATGCTTGACAATCTTGAGTGATTTTACGAAGGAGTCCTCCTCTGCTCTCTGGGAGAGGAAAGTGAGAGGGAGGACCAGTGCAAACACAAGACGCAACAGTCTGGGGGGTCCAGCGAAAGGGGCTGGTGCAATACATTTCGTGGAATAGATTTGTGGGGCTGCAATAGACTTGGTGTGTGCAATACATTCCGGTGCGGAAATGTATTGCTGGATTTTCGCGTGCAATGCATAGGTTGCAATACCATGCAATATAATTCACTGGCGCAATACATTTGCAACGCAATTGCCCCAAATCTATTGTACCACCCCCCCTTTCACCTAGACCCATTTCTGGGTGACGAGGAAACAGCGATTTTGCAATACACATTCCCACATTCCCTCTTCAATGGGCCCTCCAAGATTTCGTGGCCATTGCGGGGAATGTCGCATAGGAACATAACCGTCTGAGAATCCTCACTCGCGCCAGAACACTATTCCTGGGACCTTAGCGTCGCGAGTCAACCTGACTGCTGCGCCCTGAGAATGTAAATTCGTGTCAGAACACCTTTCCCAGGATTTGACACTGTAAACATTTTATCCGAACGCCATTTCTGAGACTTTAATCATTCGAATCCTTGAATATGGTGCAGAAGTGTCAGAACAAATGCGCGCGGCGCCAGGGCGAGAGCCACTCCTTGGAAAAGAGCGGCCCTTCAACCTTGAGACTGGTGCACACGTTTAACGCGAATGTGCGCGGCGCTCTTGCTGGAGCAGCATTTCCATGAAAAGGGCCGTCGACCATCCGCTTGGCATCGCTCGGACGTGTGCATTTTTCTCGGCGGGAGCCATCGAGGACCGTCCTGGACCATCGAGCCACAAAAACACGCACGAAACCGAAACGTGCACGGGAAATGGACGTCCGAGCGACGGCAAGTCCGTGAAGCTGGGGCAATTGTTTTAGACGAGCGCGCCCGGCACTACCATGGGAGCCGCGTCTTGAGAACGGCCCGCCCTCCACATCCATGAAGCCGTTGCACTCGTGTGAAGACGGGCGCGCGCGGCGCGAGGAAGACGACCCGCTCTTCGTCCTTGAAGCATGGCAGATTTGCCAAGCTTCAGGAAATTTACACATTGTTACTGTCTACTTCTTCGACAATTCTTTGATTTTTTTGGGGGCAAGATCCTTTCATTCCTAATTATAATATCCTGGGTCTCTTCCTGGCCGCGAGGGGGCCAGGAACAATTAGAAACGACCACAACTACAAAATGAGCACGATAAGACATGAACGACGTGCAGATGGGGAGGGTGCCATAGGAGAACCGCCCGGCCCGCCCTGCCGACACACCTGGGGGTGCGCCAGGAAGGAACTGCTGCGAAGGCCCTGTGGCCGGTGCCGCCGACACTGAAGGCAGGGGCTCCCCCTCCTTTTTCCTCCCCCTCCTCCCTCCTCCCTCGTCCTCCCCCTCCTCCTCCCTCCTCCTCCTCCTCCTCCTCCTCCTCCTCCTCCTCCTCCTCCTCCTCCCGCTGGCGACCCCCCCCCCCCGGGGACCCACCAGGACCCCGGAGGGGCGGTATTCTGATCTGTGACCCTCCGCGCCCCCCTGGCCCACCTCCCTAGTTCCCCGCCAACCAGCCCAGCAGGGATGGGACAGAGGGAAGGGGCTGCCCTTGGACTGAGCTACGGCGTTCCTTATCCTTGTTCCTCAAGTTTCTTGGGGCTGACGACGACGACGACGACGACGACGACGACGACGACGACGACGACAGCACCTTCATACGCTGAAGGGTCGGCGGATCTCACAGGAAAGGGGATGGAGTGTGCAGCAGTGCCTCTCGGCCGCCTCGCTCTGCGCCCGTCCTCGCCCGACGCCCGCTTTGAGGACGGGGGTGGGCGAGGGGGGGGGCGGGGCTTCGACGCTCCGCAGATGTCGCAGGGGCTGCCGAAGAGGGAGGCGGAGTGAGTAGGAGGAAGGACGAGGAAGGAAAGGGAGGGAGGGGGGAGGGAGAAGGGAAGGAGGGGAGGAGGGAGGAATAGGGAGGAGGGAGGAGGACGAGCCAGAAGGACGAGGAGTAGTGGCCCTGGGCTTCTAGGGTATTCTGGGGGTCTCTCAAATTTTCTATGCCCCGGAGCCCCCTTGTGGAACTCCCTGAATATTCTGGTTGGTGCTCTTGTACTTCTGGATTGCGCCATCGTGTTTATGCATATTGTGCACGTGGCAGCCGACCTTCCTCCTCCTCCTCCTCCTCCTCCTCCTCCTCCTCCTCCTCCTCCTCCTCCTCCTCCTCTTCCTCCCGTAGCCATTTTGGCTCAAGGTCGAAACGCTTCCCTGGCGCTTCGAGCTTGATCGCTGCCGAGGGGACGGCTCAGAGCTCCCCTCTTGCGAGGACGGGCCTCGCGACACAGGAGTTTCAGTGCCTGTGCTTTGTGGCTCACCACCTGGCCCTCTGGGCCCTTCACGGTTCCACGCACTTCTTCGGCGTGTATGCCTAGAGATGGCGGCTCGGCATCTCGCAGTGATCGCGGGCAGCACCATCTGCGCGAGCGGCGTCATGATCATCGTCGTGATCGCGACCACGATCGGCGGCGACGCGATGCCTCACCTCCCTCATCTTCCAGCGGCTCGGGTCATTCTCGAGCCCCTCGCGCCCAGGACCGCCATCGTGATGTTCGTGGCGGCCATCGCGGCCTTGGCTTTGCTGATCTCCCTGCTGCTGAGCGGCAGCAACTCGTTCAAGGTATTCATGACGCTCCCACGTTTACTGATCATGAAGCTCGCCCCCCCACCAGGAGGTGACCACGACCCTCTTCAAGGACAAGGGGAACCCTTGCGCCCACGGGAACCCCAACCGCCACAGGCGGGCGACATCGAGGCTGTGGTCTTCGCGGCCTCCGAGCAGCAGATGGGGTCCGTCCGTAATGAGATCAAGGGGATCATGGTGGGCGCCCACACGGACATGCGCGACACCGTCCTCGGCATTCTTCGTCCGCAAGATGCACGGATTCACGGCCATGGTGCACAGGTTCGCTCTCTTCATCAGCGCGCGGACGGGCTTCAAGCGGACCGCGCATCTGTTCGTGCTGATGTGGATCGGATCAAGCAGACCCTGTCCCAGGCGCAAGCTGCCCAGAATGGGGTCATCGACCTCGCTTGCTTGGCGCAGTACGACAGGCCGCCCGACCCCAGCATCTTCCGCACCGGCTGCGCCCAGCCCACCTGTCTGATCGACGTGCAAGAGGCCATGCAGGAATGGATTCGCGACGCCAATGTCGACCCGAATCACACCAAGTTCCACGGCCAGTCGCCGGGGAAGATCTACTATATGCAGCTTCCTGGTGGTGCTCCTGGTGTTGCACGGGCCGCCCGTCTGGCTTAAGCTCTCCAATTCGCAGGTGGGGCCTGGAGGAGGTTTGCCGCCACCGCCGTCGCTGGAGGCACCGATCGGCTCTTCGCCAATGCGGACAAGAGCCCGAAGCAAGCCAGGAAAGATATTCACGGCAAGCGATTGGTCCCCATCCTCCAGGCCGGCTACCCAAACATCCAGTGGCGGTTTCTTTGCGCCCCTGGGATTGCATCCGCTCACGGGCCCCCCCTCGTCAAGATCGCTCCACAAGGCCCAGAAGGGCCGACCAGACTCGCATGGTCCCCCGCAGTTGTCGTAGACCTCCGCATCGACTACAACGCTGTCGCCTCCAGTCTCCGCCAACGCCTCCAGGGCCTGGACACCTCAGCATGGACGTGATCCCAGTGGGGCTGGCTTCCGTACGAGCTTGACCAGCATGGCTCGCAGGAGCTCGGGATTGCCTCATGGAGTGCGCGCGGCTTGCGCTGCTGGGACCACAAGCGCAGGAGGACCAAGTTCAACGCATTGAATCGTCTTATTCTGTCCCGCCACATTGTTGCCCTCCAGGAGGTTCACGGCAGCAGGCGCATGCTCGAGACGCTGCTCAGTCATATCAACTTCCACTACATGCTCTTCTACTCTGGCTTCGAATATCAGGACGTTGACGGAACCAGTCGTGACGTTCCTGCTAAAGGAGGTGTTGCCATCGTGGTTCCTTGGCATGCACCTGGGACTGTCGACGCCGTCCCCAGTAACCGTCCGCCTCAATGTCGGCGCAGCGCGTTGATTCCAGGGAGCATACACCAGGTGGAGATCTCTAGCCCCAACACGCTCAAGTCCCTCCGCATCCTCAATATTCATAACTATGAGATTGATTGGCAAGCCCGTGGGAGTGTCCGCGACTGCTGGGCCGCTAGCCTTGCCTGGGCGCGTTCTGACGAGCTGGCCCTCCTGGCAGTGCACATTGGCGATTTCAACATCAGCAACTACGTGCACCAGTCTCTCATCTTCCCCGAGCGGCGTCAGGCCAGGCTCTCTCGAGATGGAAACGCGTCTCAAACCGAGCCCTTCTGGCGCAGGGTGTTCGAGGTTAGCGTGCCAGAGATTGAGAGCCCGCTGCCGACCCACTACTCCAAGGCCACGGAATCCCTGAGCACGATCGACAGGTGCTTCATGTTGCGGAGCTCCCATTTCGTCACCGACTGCGACGCGGCGGTAGAGATTTTCAGGAGTTCCCGAAGTCGCCCGACTGGTCGCTCTCGGACAGCGCACTGCCGGTGCTCCGCCTAGCGCCCAAGAGGCCTCTTGGCGCCGATCTCCGCTCCATTTCGAGCTTCATCTTCCGCGAGCCGCGCTGCAAGATCATCTTCCAGAACTGCATTGACGGCGCCTCTCTCCGCCTTCTGGACAACAGTGCCAAATGGATGCGTCTGAAAGAGCTCATGAACATGGCTGCGGCATTCACGCGCGATGAGCTCCAACAGAACCGTCGGCCGCCCGCTGGCACTGAGGCGGCCGACACCGAATGCACGATTGTGCTAACTGCGGCATGGTGCCCCTCAAAGAACCCGATGCGTTCCGCGCGCTCACGTACGACGCGAACCAGAGACGCTTGCATCAGATGAGCATCAGCGCCGCGAGGCAGGCGGGCAGGCTCGCCCATCGCCCGCATGAAGACGCGGACCCCGCTGGCCTCCCAGACCACGTCAAGTTGCAGGAGACCAGCGTGCGGCCGGCCCTGACTTGGAACCCAACAGAACGACGCTTCCTTCCCCACGGCGCGAAGCACTCCCGGGCTGCTGACGCCCCTGGCTCCATTGAGCGCGGCCCCTCGGCCATGGCGCAGATGATCAGGAACTACTGGCAGGTCATTTTCGAGGGGGCGACTACCAGTGATCAGGCCATTCAGGAATACTGAAACCAACGCCTTCCTGCTTTCCCACCCTCGGATCTTCCCTTACCAACTCCAGAGGGCCTTGCCAGAGCTTTGCGTCGCGGGCGGGCCTCCTCCCCTGGCTCAGACCGTTTGCCATGTGGGGCCTGGAAAGCCGTGCCAGCTACCTCCTCGATGTTGTATGAAGTGTTGTTGCGTTTGTTTTCAGGAGCAGGGCCATCCGATGGTTTGAGTCACTCCAACTTCGCCTTCATTCCGAAAGGCGACGATCCGCAAGGTCTCACGGATTGCGCGAGGGAGGCTGGAGCGCTTCGCCCTCTTAATTTAAAGAACACCGGCAGTGAGGCCCTCGCTTTAACCACCAACACTTCTTCAGCAAGGTCGCTGAAAAGCGTGCACTTATTACGCAGCAAGGTTTTATTCGGGGACGCAATTTTGGATCCCACATTCTAAACCCCGGCGCAGAATCCCGCCTGATTAGTTTTGGAGATGACGCGCCCTTGAGGTGCCCGTGTTTTCTTTCGTTTGATTTCAAATCTGTTTTCCCCAGTGTGAGTCAACAGTGGCTCCAAGCAGTTCTCAGGAGGCTTAATATTTCTCTGGAGGCTCAATATTCCGCGGGGTTACTTAAATGCCATCCCAGCGCTAGCGTAGGATACCGAGGGGTTCCTCCAGGTTGGGTCCGAACGGATGAATTTGTTTTCGGTCCAGCGTGGTGTCCTTCAGGTGTGCCCACTCTCGGGCAAGTTGTGGGCCCTGTCCATGGACTCCCTAGTCAGGCATCTTGCGAAAGTTTGCGACGAGGCGACCGTATCTATACAGCCCCCGCGGCCGGCGGCTGGGTCGCGCGAGGCCCGTCTGGAACAGGTCGTCCCTTCTCCTCCCCTCGTCTGTGCTGCTGGTGCGTGTGCTGACGACGTTGGAGTCTCTCTCCCTGCCCTCTTTCTCCCCCCATCGCGCCTTGTTCCCCCGTTTGCCGCAGCGTCGTCGCTCGCGAAGCTCGACCTCCAGCCCCGCAAATGCTGCATGGCCCCGACCTGGGCGGTCCCAGGCCCCCAACAAACCGAGCAGCTGCCAGATGATCTTGTTGCCTTAGTCCCCGAGTGGAAAGAATTCCACATTTGCCCGGCGTGACGTTACCCCGGGAACCAGGTGTGACCAAGTGCGTCCCTTACTGACCAGTTTCGAGCCGCAGCTCAGAAGTGGTGGCCCCGTTGCCGTCTCATCGCGCAGACCCGAACTCCCACAGACGCCTGCCTTCGTTTGTATCGCACGATCGTCCTTCCCTGCCTCTCCTACCTTGCCCAGTTGTTCCCAATTCCTGTGGAGGTTGCTCGCAAGGAGCACCACGCTCTCCACAAACTCCTTCGCCCCCCTCCGCCGAGCTTTGCGAAGAAGGATCTATTTTCCTTGTTTTGGGATGCGTGGCCCCGAACCAGTGTAGATATTGGGGACGGCGGCGATGTGGAGGGTGGCGGGAAAAACTCTGAGGCTCTGGGGGCCCGCATACCAGAGACTGCACGACCTCTCCCACGCCCTTGGCAGCATGCGACGAGCGCTTGCAGGGAAGTGGTGTGCCTCGTGCTGGCAAAACGAGCGTAGAATAGTTCAGCACTTACCTGATCTCGTCGTCCCCTTCTCTGAGCCCCCCTCCCTCGCCCCCCCTTCTTTCTCTTCCTTGGCCCCCCGGCTACCTTCGCACCGCCCATAGAGCGGTTCGGGCGGAGGCCGAGAGCGCCCGACTGAAGAAGAGGCCCTCCCTATCTCCAGACAGCCTTCTCCGTGTCTCTGCTCCCATCGGACGACGGCTCATCTCCTGGTTCCTTGATCTTCCTCCCCTTCCCCCGAAGAGCTCGTCGAACGCTGAGGAGGTTTCTCAGGTCACGTCCCCCGAGCCACCAGTGGCCGTACGTCAAGAGCCTCGCTGGTGCCTGGATCACGAGTCACCGTGTCAAGATTCACACACAAGCTTTCCTGTAGGCTCGGGTGTACAGAGCCCGACTCGATTGCACACTAATTCTCTTGCCCACGGCTGTGGGCGGCGGTTGACCCCACACTGATCCAGCTTCTTCCTCTCTCTCCTCTCCTTTGTCTGGGACTGGGTGGGGCGGATGGGGAGTCCCCTAGTGGGGTCAGCATCGCTCGCGCTCACCGAGCGCTCATTCTCACGTATCAGATTTACCACAAGCTTCGGTCTTTACACCGCCAAGGAGAGTGCGCCCAACTCATCTCCGAAGGCCCGCGGCGCTGCGCGT